GCTGCCCCGCGCGCGCACGGGCGCCGGGCTCCCGCCGCCGCCGGCCCTTCCTTACCGCGTCGCGGCCGTTGAGCTGGGCGCCTTTGGCCAGGCGGGCCTCGGTCTTGGATCTGCGCTCCATCTCCTCCATGATGCCTTGGATGTGGCCTCCGGAGATCCCGTGGAAGAGCATGGCTGGGGGGCGGAAAGGACACGAGTTGTCTTCTGCTCGGCACCCCACTATTTCCATATACACACGCCCGGGGCTCTCAGCTCATCCGAGGGAAGTAGAAGCTGGGACCGCAGAGGCGGCGCGATGGGGGGCTGCGGAGACGCTCGGGGACAGAGGGCGAGGGGGCGAGAGGCAAGAAGAAAGAAAGAGGCAGACGGAGTGGAAATTGGTCTGCTCGGAAAGGAAAAAAAAGAAGGGGGGAGAAAAAGCCCCAGCGGCTCCCTGAAGGAGATGTGCGGAAAACAAACAAACACGGGCGGAGGGGAAAGGAGGCAAAGGCAAGAGAATCTTACTGCTCTGAGAGATCGAGTTACTAATGGGAAACAACTGCAGCGGGGGGAGGAAAACAAAATCTGGTGAAGAAAGAAAATAGTTTTGAACACAAAGAAAGAAAAAGAAGTGCTATTTTCAGCGGTCCCTGGCTGCTTGCAAGTTCCCAGTGCCTGTAGGTTGGGTTGGGGACTGCTCCTGCCGCCGGAGCTGTGTCCAATTTGTTAAGAGACTAAAGCCAGCCCATTTTTGATAATTTAGTAGGAGGAGTTCTCTCCCCGGAGCTGCCACGGATTTTTATTCAGACAACAAAGACCTGTCATACTCCTCTCAACCCCCTGGTGATGGGCAAGTGGGGACAAACATGGGGGGGGGGTAGGGGGAGGCAGTAGGAGGGGGCATTTACTTCCCCCCAACACACACACACACACACACACACACCCTTCCAAGAGTTCCCAGCAATCACGTTTTAAAGGGAAAAAGGAGCCCTTATTGTCCCCGCCCTGGCACAGAAGGCAGAGAGCTGGCCTGTTTGGTCCAAGTTCAAGATCAGACCCTGGCTCAAGAAATGCAGAATGTCAGCTCCCACCTTTACGTTTCCTCCTTGTGGACTTTCTGGTCCCCAGCTTATGGGAACCCCAAATAAGTAAATATTGAAGAGACATTCCTGTCCTCCCCACCCCCTCTTCCTCAATTCACTTTTTTAAAGTAAGTTGCTTCACCTCCCCAAGGGCTCCCGACCCCAGCAGGGACTGAAGCAACCCCCAAAGCGAAAAGGAGCTAGAAGAGCCTATGTTTCTGGAGTTTACTTCTGGCAAAAAAAGATTCTTCTTTGACAAATCAGTGTAGGGGAAAGGCTGTGGGCTTGGAGATGTGATGTGCAACTGAACCGTGACCACAGGGGGATGTAGTCTCTCACCCAGTTCAGGTTTGGAGGGAAACCGATGGCGAGTCCCGTGTCCCGTATGAAACTTGTCAATGTGGGCAGCAACTCAGGAACTCGCGCGAACTTGGCGCCGCCCTCCGGGACCGGGCGCGCCTCCCACTGCCCCGGCTGGACTGGGGGCTTGTACATCTGGACGCGCCACACATTTAGGAGGATGTGAAGGGGGCTTCTCGCCGTGGAGGAAGGGAAGGTGAGAGCTGACAAGCAGAATGGCAGCCCCGCGCCTCACAACAGGCAGGATTGTTCTGTCTCCCTCTGTTCCCGTGAGCGGCGGCCCCTCCTCGGCCCTATTAAGTGTCCACAATACTCTGATATTGTCGATTCATTCAAACCACCAGAAGCCCCCTAGGGGCCCGAAGCGGGGAGCGGGGGCGGCAGGAACCGACCCAGCTCTGAGCCGAGAGGAGGAAGCCCCGGCTGCGCTCTGCTCTGCGCCTTCCTCCCTCTGGCCGCCTGTTTCCCACTGCGTCCCGTCGGCTTTCCCGGGACCGCCCGTTTCTCCCCGGCACGTCCCGGACACCTGGAGGAGTCCCCTGGTGGCGCACTCGCTTCCCTCGGGAGGAGCCCGACATGGAACGGTGGCCAAATCTAGAAAGATAGAGGGAGGGAGGGAGGGAGGGAGGAAAGAAGGAAGGAAGGAAGGAAGGAAGGAAGGAAGGAAGGGAGAAAGGAAGAGCATGGGGCAGGAAGGAAATGAGAGAGGGAGTAGAAAGGAAAGGAAGGAAGAGAAGAATGGTGCAGATCCTGATTTCCTGCCCCAAAGCATCGCCTTCTGAAGCTGCTGGAGTCACCTCTACCACGAAACCCAAGACTCCACTCCTTCCCCCTTACTCTTTTCTCTGGGTCAAAAATAATGTTATTTGCAGACTGGACGCTGTTACGGTTCTCCGGGTGCCAGAATACAGCTCATAAAACACAATTTCACACAGAAATGAAGCCAATCAAGTGAACTAAGCTGGAGACCTCCCCTCACTTTGGCAGCCCTACTGGACAGCAGGGCTGCTATTTACTGTAAGTAATGTAATTAGCCCCTTTGGATGGAAATCAATGAGCTTTTCAAACCCACGTGCACAAACGCTGGGGCTGGGGGCAGCAGCTCTTTCAGAGACAGCAGGTCCTCTCACAAAGGGGCAGACTGCCTTCCCACAAGGCGGTGACTGGGACCGTGTGGGGGGAGGAAGAGGAGGGGTCTTTGAGAAGAACATCAGTCAATTAACCCAAGGAGGCTCCAAGGAAAAAGTAAATATTGGACCTCAATCCAGGGACCTGCTTTGTCTACTTTCTAGGCTAACTCCCCCGGCCGCCGCCCCCCCATGTGGATGTTCAGAAGTGGGTTTGGCTATTGTTGGATTTCGGTCCTGCTCAGCAAAAACAACAAAGAACCCAAGAACACCACTACCTCCTTGCAAGGGCTGAAACTTTGGAGACTTCATTAAGTGAGAGCTTAACAAACAACTCCAAGAAAAAGCCAGAACTTTGTGAAGTCTCCAGGGAAGCCAGGCACAGAAGTCCTGTGAGCCCACCAATCCTTCGGTCCTTCCTTCATCCGCTACACACAGATTTGTTCATTGTGAATTGGGTACAGGCAGGGCAGAGGACCTTCTGCCATCAGCTTCCAGGTTGGAGCCCAGCTATCCCTGCTTTTTCTTATAAAACTCGGGTTGCAAGTTCCTGCGCCGGGTGGGACTTGCTACTTTCCATAAAGATGAGAGCTGCTGGGATTCTTCCTTCTCAGCCAGTGCAGGAAGATTGCAGAGAGCTAGGGGTGGGGCAGGGGGGGCTGCTGGAGTTCGGGAGGTCCTCCTTAGTTCTGGGGAGATCTGAAATCGCTCCCCGTCGGTCCAGCCCTGCCTCCTCTCACAGTTCCTGAAAAAGGAAGCCCATGGGAGCGGAGGATATTTTCTCCAAGAATTGGGCGCGTGACCTGGGACGTCCTAACCTTTTTGTCTTGCAGCCTCGGGGAGATGGCCTAAGAGTGTCCCCCAGCCCACCACTCTCAAAGCACTTTAAGGAGAGAGTCTTGGTGGCTCTGCCTTCTTTCCTCTCTCCAGAAGAGCTGCTGGGGCCCGGGGCCCGCCGAATGACCCTCGAGTGATTCGCACTCGCCAGTTCCTGGGGCTGAGTCCCCGCATCTCTCAATGGGACAGGTGCAGGGACCCCTACCCCCGCGGCCCGGAGGGGCATCTCGAGTCTCCCCTCTAAACTCAAAGCTCTATTTGGAGCAGGGCGGCAGAACCTTGGCCAGGGACTGCCCTCCGTCACGACGGAGCCCACTTCGTCCGCTCTTGCCTTTCTGCTCCACCAGCCACCCAGCCGCTTACAGAGGCCACTTTGAGGAAAGCGGGCAGCTGGGATCGGGGGCAGAGGAGTCGGGATTGAGGGTCAGGGCCTCGGAATCTCCGCTAGGGCGGCAGCCTGGTCCCGGGTTCCCACTCCCTCCGCAGAGGGGTGGAGAGGGAAGCAAAGGGAACGCGCGGCTTGATCAAGCGGCAACGGAGGCTTTAGGGTCCCAAGGGGAAACCCTGCCCCGACTGAGAGAATAAGCGACTCAAGATCTCTTCAGACCTGAATTTTGGAGGCCAAGATCCTGTGCCCCGAGTTTGCCCTTAAAAGGGCAGAGGTCGCCTTTCCGCCTGACCCAATTAAGCTAGTTGAGGCGCCTCCTTGGTCTGAAAGGTGCAGCTCTTGGAGCGGTGTCCGTCTTTGGGCGCCGTCCTGAGCATCCCAGAGTCCGGGGGAGTCGGCGCCGTCCTGGAGCTTGGAGCCGCGCACCCAGCCCTGGGGTCTGCGCTGGGCAGGAGGGGTCTGCGCTGGGCAGGAGGCCAGAGCATAGCCCGGAGGCAAGCCGGCCGTTCTCCGTCCGTGGGCGCAGGGAAACTCTGTGTACACCGAGGGTGGCCGATCCAGACTGGCGCCGCCGCCAGGGCGCCCCTCGGATTCAGTGCTACTAGGAGGGCGGCCTCCCCCCAGCCGGGATGGGAACGGGCTGAGCGGCGCCGGGGTGCGCGAGCTCCAGCGCGAGGAGGAGGAGCCCCGCGGCCGGGCCGCTGCGCACCTCGGCCGGGAGCCCGTTCCGCGCGGCCGGCGCGCCGGGCCCTGCCCTCGGGTGCGCCCTGTGTCCACGCACCCCCCTAGCCCCGCGAGGCCTCCGGCCCGTTGCGCGCTCCCTTCAAACCTCTGCCTCCAACGCCCTTGGGTTCTTCTCCAAGGGATGGCCGGCCGGTGGCGGAGACAGCGCTTCTGAAACCTGAAGCTCTTTTACCTGGGGTTTGCCGCGCAGCGGGCCCGCAGCAGCCGCAGGAATAAAGGCAGCCTCCCCCCGCCCCTCGCCACCCCCGCGTCCGCGGAGATCGCCCGCAGAAACGGCTACGCGGGGGTCAGGTTGAGCCAACAGTGGGGGTGAAACCAGTTTCCAGTTAAGCGCTAATGGGTGAGAAGCGACGTCTTCCTGCCCCCGTCCCCGCCCCATCCCTTCCAGTGAGGAGACGCCCCCAGCAGCTCTGCGAAGGACCCGGAGCGCATCCCTCGCGCCCGGACACCTCGCGGCTTAGTGGCACCGTGACCTCCGCCCCCAGCGCCTCCGCCCTGAGTAACTCAGACCTTCGAGAGAAAGGCAAGCGGAGGGGAACGCGGATTTCAGGAATGCTGTCAGGATACTCGGAACGAGACCATGTATCTTAGAGCCTACGGTTCGCGGTTTAATTTCTAAGACAAACACAAACCCCTCTTGTTCCCACCCGGTGAAGGCGTGCACACGCGCGTGCACACACACGCTCACACACCCACACAATATATGCTCCGGCCTAAGAGAAAGGGCAAGAGAAAGCCTGGTGTGTAACTCACCTGCCTCTAGAGTGGTGCCGTTCAGCATTCTGAGAGCAGCAGTGGATCACTCAGCGATGGTGTCTGCACCGCGGAGAAACGAGCGCATCAGCTACGAGGTGCGGCCCGGGGCCCCGAGCGCCTCCCACCCCCGGGGGGCGCGTGCCATCTGCTCCTCCCGCCGCGGCCTCGGGCACCGAGAGGCCTCGAGGGAAGCCGGGCAGCCTCCGGTAGGTGCCCGGGGCGCTCCCGGGAGCCGGGCGGTCGGGCTCACGCTGAGGGCGGAAAACTGCTCCGGCCAGACAACCCCCATCGGGATCTTACCTTGAGGTCCAGACGTTCCCGCCCAAGAACCCGGTCCTTGGCGAGGGAGGGCGGGAGGCGGCGGCCAGAGGTGCGAGCCAGTCCCCA